GCAGAGAAAGGAAGTGAATGCCAGAGAATACAAAGACAAATAGAAAGAACACAAGTGGGAGGAAGCCTCCCAGAGAAACAAAAGGATCAGGAGGTACTCAGTGCCAGTGGAGCCCAGCAACTGGTATCAGGCTCTCATCCTAGCTTCATAGAATAAGAGAGAAGATACTCAGATCCTCTTGGGTCAACAAAACCCAAGAGCCATTCTGAGAAGGAAAAGGCATGTTGTGGTGGCAGGGGACTTTCCCTAAGGAGAGGAACTGAAGCCACAGTTTGCAGGCCTGATATATAGTGTGGAAGATGTGTTTTCTTCCAGGTGCCCATATACAAGATGTGATGAACAGGCTATCTCTTCAGACTCACCAGTTACTATCCCTTCCTATTGATTCACATGGAAATGAATGACACTGCTAGAAGAGATTGTTTGATTATGAGGCCCTGGGTGGGAAAATAAAGAAACTTGGAGTGTGAGTTGTTTTAATCAATCGTTTTAATTTAATCAATTGAGAGTGATAGTGTAAGAAGAGAGAATGGAAGAACTGGAAATGAAGAACTGACTATTTATATGGTACCACAAAGAAAGTTTTGGGTTCCTCTACCATGGACTGCATAAAGGACTCCTGGCAAAAGATAGGCTACCTCCCATGAAGACTGGGAAGGACATGTTTGGCAGGAACTTACCCAATCATATCAGGACCTTTGTTAAACTTGAGCAAAAAAGGGAGGGTGGCAAAAGTCCAGAATCAAACATACCATCAAGGACTGAGGTTGGCAATGCAGGAGACAAAGAGAAAAGTGTGAAAGTGGAAGGCAGCTTAGAGATTTGCAAGAAAGTACAATAGCAAAGCTAGTAGTGGGTACCATTCACAAACTCAGATGTTTCTCCACCAACGCAGAGTACCAGAAACAAACAGGAAGAACATGAAATCTCAACAGTGGAGGACAAATATAATGTCACAGGCATAAATGAAACTTGGGGGATGTTATATATGATTAGAACATAGCCCTGGTCTACAATTTATTTAAAAGGAATAGCTTCAACGTAAGGGAAGTTTGCACAGAAATTCATGAATTGAACATGGAAGTCCTCTTGAAAATGTTTAGGTAAGTACAAAAGAAACAAATAAAAGTGATATCATTGGAAAGGTTATAGTAGGCTATCTGGACAGGCTGAAAGTATAGACAGAACTACTACATCTACATCAGATCACCAAGCTTTTAAAGATATATGCAAATAATGATGATGGGAGATTTTAACTACTCTGACACCACCTGGAAATCTAACTCTGCCAAAAGTCAAAACTCTAACACATTCCTGTCCTAAGTTTGTGACAACTTCATTTGTCAAAAGGTAGAAGAAATAACAATGGGGTCTGCTATCCTGTACTTAATTCTTACCAATAGGGAGGAATGTGTTGAAGAAGTGAAGCTTGGGAAAAAGTTACCATGTTATACTTGAGTTTACAATATCAAGAAGAGGAGGAATAAAGAAGAGTCAGTCCTGTATATTGGATTTTGGAAGAGTGGGTTTGGATGAGCTTAGATGGGAGGTCACCAGATCCAATGGCTTGAAATCCTGAAGGAGAAAAGGATCTGGGAAGGATGGGAAATCCTGCAAAGTGAGATACTGAAGGCACAAACTCAAATAATTCCTACTAGAAGGAAAAATGAGAGAGATCTAAAAAGAATTGAATAATATACATAGAACTGTTGTTACGAACCGGCCAGAGGTGTGTTCTTAAGAGAGGCAGCATGCAAATCTTATAAACAAACAAACACACTTTCTAGAATTTGAAAAGAAAAAGGAACATATAGAGAAAATGAAGGGAGAAGCAAATAACTAAAGAGGGATATGAAGCAGTCACCAGAAAAGAGATGCTCTTGGAGAACTGGAAAAGTCTGAGAAGACTGATGAACAGAAAATACTATCCTTATCTTCAAAAAAGGGAAAGAAGAAGGAGGAGCCAGAAATTACAGACACATCAACTTGATGTTTATACTAGTCAAGGTCTTCACCCAGATTATTAACAGCATGTTGCGAGCACTTAGATAGACCTGGATGAGGGAGTTGAAGGGATGATTATCAGATTATCAGATAACACAAAACTAGGAGGAGGGACTAACATAGTAGAAGAGAAAGAGAAGAATCAAGAACATCCAGACAGGCTTGAATACTGGCCTGAAACAAACTGTATGAAATTTAACAGAAAATGTAAAATCCTGCAACAGAGGAGAAAAAATGAAAGGCACACTTACAGAATGGGGAAGTCCTGGCTTGGCAGTAGTATATATGAAAAAGACCTAGGTGTTTTAGTAGATCATACTGAACATAAGCCAACAGTGTGATGCAGGTGCCTTTTCATCTGCCACCTCCTAGAGCTTGTAAAGTTGCTCTTCCTCCATCAACATTACTGGAAGTCCGATTGCAACTGTAGTGCTCACTTTCATCAAACACTTGTATCACAAGAAAGCTTTGATTGATTGATTGATTGATTGATTGATTGATTGTCATTAAGTTGATGTTCACTCTTAGCAGCCACATAGATTTTCTCCAAGGATTTCTCCAGGATTTTCTGTCCCCAACCTGATCCTTCAAATCTTCCAATGGTGCACCCATTGCCCCTGTAATTGAGTCCATCCATCTTGCTGTTGGTTGTCCTCTTCCTCTCCTTCCTGCCACCTTTCCCAGCATTATTCTCCAAATAATGTCTAAAGTATGATAATTTGAGCCTTGTCATTTGTGCCTCAAATAAGAACTCTGAGTTGATGTGTTTGATGATTCATTTATTCATTTTCTTGACTATCTATGGTATTCTCAGCAGTCTTCTCCAATATCAAGTTCAAAAGCATCAATAATCTTTCTATCCTGCTTCTTCAAAGTCCAACTTTCACTTCCATAGAGTGTCACAGAGAAAACCCTAGCAGTTCTTATCACTTCTACTTTCTGTTGGAAAAAGCTATTTCAAATTCTGGTCAGGAAAACTTAGTTTCAGAATAACATGACAGTTCAACATGCACAGAAGTTACTTGATTTGTGTCAGTCTACACTCTAGATGTTGCAGGACTGATATTTCCAACAGCCTTAGCCAGCCTGACCAATAGTGAGGGATGCTGAGAACCATAATTCAGTAATACCTGGATGGCCACATTCCACCCATGACCTATCAATTTCTTACTGGACACAGTGTAGGTTCAGAGCTTCCGTTAGAAGCTGCTTTTTTCATACTCAGTGAATACAGCCCCTGTATGCTTAAATCCCTCCACTGGGTTCATCTCTAATCTTTAATTCGTTGAGGCAAAACAGCTGAATGGGAAGCGCAACCTGTGCCTTCACAAGCTTCTCCAGGAAAAACAGGAAACATGTATTTGCCCCCACATGATCAAGAAGCTTTGTACATCTGGGATCAGATTCTAAACATATATAACTAAACATGTGCATCACTTCCTATAAGGCCCCAATATACAATCCTTGGCTATAGTCAGTTCAGACAGGGAGGTGGGGGGCACGTTTTCAGCCCCTTCTCCCCTTGCAAAACCGTCGAAAAAGGTTCCCAGCCATCACCCAGCTAAAGAAATCTATCTAGCAGAAGTTTTGTCTATGACATAAGGCAATTGTTTTGTGAAAGGACGTGCACTTTCATTTTAAACTGATGCCTCTTTTCCTCTAGGACTCAGCTTAGAAAAACCATTCTCACCTAGAAAGAATTCTATTCCTCTTGTGAAAATACACTTGCCATCTGCAGCTTGTGTGTGTCTCTTGTGGAAGGTCCAATACTGTACCAATGAATCTATTCCTGCAAGGGGACTTTTGGTTTCCTCTGCATTTCTGCACCCTCCACCCAACTCTCCTACAGGCACCTCATTCCTAAATTGCAGATTATGAGCACACACAGAGGTATAGATACAGGGAGGTGCACTTCCCCACCCCCACCCCAATTGGATTCCAAACAGTTAAACCAAGGACAGTGTTTTATCAAAGTCATCAGTTAATTTAGTTGCAGGGCTCTCTTGAATCCCCAATGAGAAGCCTTGTTGAAGTCAGTAGTGCTCACTCAAAAGGAAGTATGTACACTATGCACAGAAGGCAGGGCATCATAGCAAGTTACACCTATACAGTGCATTCTCTATGATATGGTACAGAAGTTGGCTTTTTCTTGAAAAGGGCTGCAGAGCATGACCTGTCTCAGCTTGCATTAAGAATGTCCTTCTTTCTGGCAATATATTCTGATGGGTCCTGTAATATGTGTGGGTTTTTCCACCCTTACAGCCAATTAGCAAAACCAAAACGTCAAACAGAAAAATAACATGCAAAGGGGAGAGGGGAGGAGAAAAAAGAAAACAAGTGTGAATTAAATTCTTTATTACAAAAAAAAAACAAAAACAAAAAACAAAAAAAAACCATAGATGGCGTTTTTTAAAGATATTTTTGTCTAAAAATAAATATTTCTTATGGAATCTTGAGATTAGCCAGTGTGGCTAGCGAATTTTTTTTTCTAGCCACAGTACAGAAAAACAGTAGCACCAATAAATAAAATGATAGTAAAATTTTCTATAATCTGGGGCAGAAGAAAAGTTTACATATATAAAAAATTGTAGTGTCTATTTAATCACGCATATACATAAATATATGTATATATA